TTCCAAACAACACAACACTCTAGTATCCACGAGTTGGGCTTTAGGCAAGCGGCACATTTTCCTCAGTGAAGGAATAAGACAGCACTTGGAAAAACTCCGGACTGAAACTCGCCAAAAGGCTGCCACTTTGATCCAGGCTACTTGGAGGGGGTGGCACTGCCGGTACCGATGGGCCGCTTTGCGTCGCGAGAAAGAGCACAAAACCGCCCCCAATACCAACACTTTAAACAGTCGGACTCCAATAGGGGGCGCCATTGCGAGACCGCGACCCCAACCCATCGCCGGGACGCCCCCTCCCGATCCTAATGAAAAATGCGACGCTAAAATAATTCAACAGACTTGCAATCTCTTCGGACTTGACTTGGAACGACCTCCTCCAGTGCCCCCCAGTCGGTCCTACACCGTCTCGGGCAATACGAAACTTGGTTACCCCCAAACTAGAGTAATGAAAATGTCGTACCCCGAGGATTGCAATGGAGAGGGACAGGTGTTGATGAAAGGAGAGACTGTCTTAGTTGTAGGAGCTTCGCATCGTCGAGGTCATTTGATCGTCGAACATAAACATTGTACTTTCCACGTACCATTCCAGTTCTTAGAGCTGAAACAAAGTGTCAATATTTAAACTTGCCATTTTATCGTATCCTAAGTTGTAATATAGTAGGTTTAGATAAATATGTGTTTTATTTCCCTACATATTGAGATGTGTTCATTGTATAGTGAAAATGCCGCCACAGCCATAACCTTGCTGGTATTCTTGATTGTAATTAAGTCAGAAGACAACAACGTTTTGTACAAACCGTAATTTAAATATACATAAAACTGTCCTATTTAATTTCAAAATATATTTTTATACTCTACGCTCGCTGTTTTATTTGCACCTCAAGCGCTAACTTTCCGAGAGAAAAATTTTAGTATGTTGTATTTTTCACTTAGCATTGCCGTAAAACAGAAGAAGGCAATAAAACACCTAGAAAAAGACATACATAAGATAGGCTTTTTTAAATTTCGCATTTACAACGACGATTTTGTTACTCTGTTTCCTCAAAATACAACCTTGTAACACTAAAATCACTAAAGAATTGAACATTTTCACACGCAAATTGATCACTTCCCGCACTGTTTAACATGCTTGTTCTAGAAATTTGATGCTCATCTTAAAAAATGAAATTTAAAAATTGAAAAAAACTACCAAAAGACTCAAATAGGTCGATTCCTACAAAATAGTTTAGGTATCCGCAACGCCACAAAAGTGACCATCACTCTTATTAAGTTGTTACTAAATGTCACTATTAAAAGTTTAAATTTCTAACCATGGAGCAAATATTCTGTTTCTTCGCTTAAGCGTTTTTACTTTTACGATGACATTTACTAATGTTGTTTTTTTTCACTGATTCAGTAATTTCTGGAGAGGTACATTCTAGATCATCAGTATTTGACATTTTGCACTAATAACTCTTGGTATGAATATGTTATTCGGAGTAAATAAAAGTTCATCTTCGTGACATAAACTATTATTTTTACTCCTAATAAAATAATATACTGTTACATTAAACTGTAAGTATGTATGTAGTTAAGTCCTTGACAGTTTGTTTGCATTTTACAACTCGGTAGAAGTAAGTGTTGATATAATTCCATTTTACATATTTCTAGAATTGAATTCATATTCAAATTGAGTTTAAAAGTTATTAAGTCATAACTGACGCAGAAGATGCATCTCCTCGTTATTTTCAAACTGTCAAAGAGAGCTCAAATAACGAGATTACTTCTAACTTTCTCTACTTATTCTAAGTGCCTACGGAATTTTTTAACATTATTTGTCACAAGTCGAAAATTAAAAACTGAAGTTTCTGATTCTAAATGGACTTTTACTTTGGTTTTTTTCACATATAATTTGTACTAAACAAATGTATGAATTCGTTTAAATCAACGAAGAATGTAATTTGTTTAAGTTTCTTTACGTAAGGAGACATTGCAAACATTTCTAAAGCTTTTTAAAGCATTATAAGTGTATGTGATATATCTTATGTCCGAATTGGATTATCACAGTGGACGTCTTGACATCAGCGCTAGTCAGAAGAAGAGGAAACTTCGATAATCCGACCGTGAACCTTCTGGGAGAAAACCTCTATTCTATTGAAAAACGAGATAATTTCTAGTCTATATTACATTTTGCACTCTCCTAAGCCTTTAAAAAATAGCTGAAACAATTTTAATCTTTATTCTCCTGCTTATAGAAGTCTGTGCAAGTGTTTTATACAACTGATGTTTCAGCAGTCAGAAAATTTCTTTTGATGTTCTGCTTATGACAAGTGCATATGCAACTTAATATACAGTAAAGCACCCATTGAATGAATAAAGTGTTAGCTAGGATGCGTAGGTACTCAACTCGTACATACAATGAACGAAACATTAATTAATCCTCTGCCTTGACAATGCAAAGAAGTTGTATTGATTGCAAATGTAACTTGCTTACAGTGACAAAACCATTGGTAATTTAATTAAAAAACCACAAACTCTGTAATAACGAGACTAGATTTCTCACAATCCTGATAAAGCTGTTTTAATTAAAGGTAGATCTAATTAATATCACAGACGTGTTTGAACAATTTGTGCTCTATTTTCATCTCTCTGTTCAGTTAATCCCCGATAAAGCTCAATCTCATATTGTCTAACCAATGAACAAACGGGCGGAACATAGAATCATTACCCTGGAGCATACATGCAACATGTTTGGTATTATAGACGAAGCATGTTACTAAAATTTAGTTCAGGATATAATGTACTATATTATTATAAAAATATTTGTTCTTTGAGAACACACATCTTGCAGGATAACGGCACACAATTTGTTATTACGTCTTTCACACTGACCACATGAAACACCCGTAATGCATTTGAATTTGCTAGTGACAGAAAATAGATAAACCGGAATGAAATTGTGTAAAGTGCCCTTTCAATCATTATGTGTTGCATCTGTAAACGTAAAATCGATACCTCAAAGTCAGGAGTGGTATTTAATAAATGAAATGCGACAATTTAACCTAGGCAAAGCAACGAAAAACTTTTTACTATGTAGGTATTTATAAAATGTTATTCACAATAGAAAAAAAAATAAAATAAACCAATTGTCTGTTTGTTTAACTTTTCTAATTATCGACGTTATTTCTCTTAAATCGCCATTTTTACTATTTTGTTTGAAAGCTAATTAAACACACTTTTTTAAATCCTTTACCGGTAATTGTTTGTTTTTCTTGTTTCTTTGCTTCTAATTTCTTTGTACAAAAGCGACTAGGTAAACTTCTTTTATCTCAACGAAAGAAAATGTAGAAATAAAAATATTCTTAGTTGCAACTGCAATTAATTTAATTACATTTCTTTAAAAATCTGAAAACTCTTCAACTGATACATTTAAATTAATATTTGTATTAATATAATTGAAGCGAATTTTTTTCGTAAAATATGGCTCTTTTGGTATCATTCCTAGAAATTTATCGAAGTTGGTAGCAAACTGGGAGAATCGTGAACGGTGTAAATTTTGATATGAGATTCAGGCATTTAATGTATAATAATGATCCGAGATTTTGCTCTGGAAGACACGGACTCCGCCACTAACAATATCTCTCCCAGTCACAGAAAAACCATTTTTTAAGTTTATCAAAGTTACGTTTAAGAAAGTTTTAAAATTGACAGTTATTGGAGGCTAACCCGTGCAAATTACAATAAAGTGGAGGTTCTCTCTTGATAAGCATTTTTCTTTTTTAGCAATTACATCTTTTCCTTTAATGTCTTTTGTGCCCTTCCCCAAGTTCATTATTTTTTTGTGCGTGATAACGTGATAAGTATCGCAACTTCGTACGTCCCTTGTGGTTATAATGATCTGGTTTTCTTATTTTTTCTGAAAATGGAGAGGATAAATGGATTTCTTAGACGAAATGTTTTTAAAGATTTCTGGTGTGACAATGTTAATATAAAAAAAAGTTTAACTAAAAGGAAAAGTTTATTAAAGCCAGAGCTTATTAAAGCTTTGGATTTTTACAGCCAATAAGCCTAAACTCAAAGTGAGTTTTTATGAAGTTTACCCTACTAAAAATAATACACACCAAAACAAATCAAAAAAAGTGTTCTAGACAAGTTTTCTTTACGAATATTTCACATTTTAATTTTGATATCTTATTTTTCCTAAGAAAAAGTACAAAATATAATCCCGACTTCCTTAACATATCATGTTTTTTACTAATTCGTCTCTTGAAACACCCGAATCAATGCATGAAGAGCACCTGTAATATTTCTTGATTCTGTTTTGTGTCTAGCTTATTGTAGTCACATTTGAGCGTTTACGACTGACACTCGAAATATCTCTTATTGTTTCATTTCATACGTGTAGAGAGGAAATAAGCATGTAGAATTTTCAATTCAAAATTCAATTCGCAACATGTTATATATTTTCAGTAATACTCTGTTTATGGCAACGGAATGGAAGAGTCTCACTATAATAAAAGGTAATTGAATACGAGACGTGACTTTTAGCGAACGGTGAACAAAATTGCTTTGATTCACATTTTTTCTTCAAATAATAGACTTCAATATCTGAAAACGTCGTCAGGTTTAATGAAAATGGTTCCTATATCCGTCGGATTTACCGTGCAATCAATTTTCAAAATGGTATAGAAATAACAAAGTGAAAAAAAATCAAGTTAAATGCTTACATTAAATACATACATTATGGAGATTAACTGTACTCACATCGTAAAACGGAAGGGTAGTTCAATGTATTATTCACTTGCCAAAAACAGGAAATAGGATAAGGGAAAAGGTAAAAGACTTCATAGATCGATAAATAAATTCACGGCAACTTTTATGATGAAATTTAATAACTGATGTGTGTTTTACTTTTGTCTTGAGTGAAGTATAATAGTTTTTTTTAATTCATTACTAAATGACATTTTTACCTAAATAAACTGGGTGTGTCATTTCTAAAGAGAAAACGACAACGAATCTTGTTCAAGAACTTTATTGAGGGCTCTACTGTTAAGAACATTTTGTTAACATTTAACACAAAATGAGATCTTTTATCACGTTATTGAATGAATACTTTTAAATGAATACCCTGTTTAGTAACATTTATTTAATTAACGTTCATAATTAATATAGTCCATAAATAAATTGTTTATTTACAACATTCTATACATAAGATGTTTGAATAGTTTGTAACGAAATCCAATTTTCTTTTGAACCGTTAAAACACGGAATATATGGACAGAAGAGTTCCTTGAAAACCGTCCTAAACTTCTTTGACATGATGCAGTAAAGAATAAAGTTGATGGAAGAAATCGTCAAGGTAAGGACATCTACGATATCACCTGAAACAAGCAAAAGAATTAGCACACAATTTTTAATTGGAAAAAATCAAGTCGTTCACTCAACATCTACTACAAAAATTAGGATTTTTTAAGCAAATATTTATAAAAGTTTGAAAAACAGCTCCACATATCCGTCGTTTAAATGTTATTTTGCAAAAAAGCACATAAAAACGGTTCAGTTCTGCAGATCATCAGTAACTGTAACCAGAAAATTACCAACATATGCTGTATTAATTATGAAGGCAAGATAAACAATGTCGATATTAATAAGATATCGATGCTCATACTCCGTAACTGTGCTAATATTTTAGGCATGGCAATTGACAACACTTAATTATAACAGAATATTGACGTATCCATGCGTGATTTATCTATTCATAAATCGCAACACCCACTTTCATTACTGTTAATAGAAAACCGATTTTACTTTCGGTTTTTTTACACGTGTCTAATAATATTTAATAAAGTAAACAAATTTCTATCATCGAATTATTCCATAATGGACCGAGAGCATTATCAGAGATTGGAGGTGTTGAATCGTCGCAAATCTCCAATAATTAAATCTATTTTTACGTTTATAGTTCATGATGAGATCAGTAAAAATGGAATTGAGCCTACATTTTGCTTTAGTAAATATACACATTACAAACGGATTCAAAATATGTATTTCCACTTTCAAAAGGATTGCAATCTTCTTAGGTGTCTACTGGAACGTGAGGAAATGTCCTAGTTGCTGCACAATTGATTTCGACGGAAAAATCTCTTTTAGTATAAGTGATTTTTTAGATGATGTAATATAAATCCAAGTAAATGTACAATTTTTTATCTTGTCTCGTTTGATAGCATCAGCAATCTCAACCTATTACAATTAACATCACTGACTTCTAAAGTGCGTGATTTTGAAATTCTAGTTTGACACTAAATTAGTTTGTTTGAGTTTGTTGTACTGTCTGGAAAGATTTCTCAGATAACGGAGTGCCAAGTAGCAGGCGTCAGAAGCAATGACCATCCATGTCGAATGTGGCGATCTCTAACTCGATAACCTTTGACCTCACAACATGATCCTTTACAGAGCGAATTACTCTAAATAAGCTTTGTTCTCCTTGTCCTAGGCCTGACCTAACTTATGGACATAATAAATGGCCGAGAACAGAAACTGACTCTACACTTAATTAAAGTAGAAATCATTAATAAGCTCAAAAATCGTTGTGAAACCCTTATAGAAACAATTCTATTTAAATGAGCCTTTGGCAATTCTTCTTCATGAAAAAAAGATTTCGGGTCGTCGCTTTGTGCCTCCCAAAACCAATTATTGCCTGATTCAGTTTCCATTTCAGCAAGCTTCCCTTTGCTGAAACTTTTCACTTTTAAAAATCTGGAGGCAATTTCGGTTTATTTAGAGTCTTGAAATAGGCGCACACGTAAATTTGCTGAATTATTCGGAAAATCTAATCTCCATAAGTACCAAAGGAAACATATCATTGAGAAAGCCCGATGAAAGCTCGTGTTTGCGTACCCTTGCAAGAGTTACAACAAAACATCGAATTGAAATGTCAATAAGTTTGAATGAATTGAATCGGAGACGTAAATTCCGCAACAGTGCTTCAAAATGAAGTGTTTCAGCGCAGCTGTTGCCTCATGTAATGAAAACGGAAATGTTCTTTTACATTATTTGTGTATTGTTCGAATCAAATTATTTCAAGAACCAGTTATTTAAACACCCGTTACCACTACATTTCAGCGGCTCGGTTCAAATAAACACTACCCGAGCAATTTTCTTTAAAATTGGCTATTTTGCTCGATGATAACTAACAGAGCCGTTCGCTTCAATGGAAATTTTTTTATTTCATTTTTCTAATAAAAATGTCGTTTCGTATCGACTTTCTATTAAATAAACGAATCGCAAGTAATTTGAGACGCAATTTATTACCTGGAAAAATAAATTAAGAAATTTCATCGGCTTGCAATTGGTGTTGTTAATTCCATAATAAAGCGCAGGTATTGTTCTTAAATGAACATTGTTGTAGCTACTCGTACATTTACATTAATGATAAATACGCCTTGTGTGCCCAAAAACCTCATCTTCCTCCCAAACTTTGATGAAATTAACAACCCCCCTCTGGGGTTATATTAAACTCTCCTTCCTAATAATCTTGCTACACTTTTGGCATCGAAAAATTGCCACATGCGGAGTCTTTTGTAAGTTTTATTGAAATAAATGCTGACTTCTCTTACACAAGCCCTAATGTTAAAAAATTGCTCAAGTCTCACACCCAAATGAAGTACCCTTTCCATTTGCATTAAGTAAATTTGCAGTAATCAATCAAAAGTTTTATTTATTATAATAAATAAAATTAATTAATTATTAATGAACTAAATAAACTGTCATTCAGGTCTAGTTTAGAAGAAAAGAAATCACATTTGCTGTCCGAATTCAGTGGCTGAAATCTTTGAAATCACTTTGGTCGTAAAACAGATTTAACATTTGGTATAATTGTTTCTCAGATTACATCAAATAATGTATTTTTATATTATTACTTATAAAAAGCGAGAGATGTGTGTAACTGACACAAAGTGAAAAAGAAAAGCTTGAGAATGAAAGATGACAGGAAATCTATATGTGAATTTTATTTTGCACCATAATGGGGATAAATATGGTGAAATTGTTAAATTAACAACTACAAGTATATATAAAATGTAACCCGAGAGATAATAAAATGTATGAGTTATAAAAAACATGGAAAACGAAGAGGGAAATAAAACTAAAACCCACGTACAAGTGTATCTAAATTATGAAAATGTGCGCTTGAACTTCCTCGATTTGTTTTTTATTCAAAGCGAGTTTAAATAATTATGAAAGTTCTCATTTATGTTTACACTTTTTAATGCTGTTCATGTATGATGAGTCTTAAATTAATTGCCAGTGGATGCGATACACACATAAGTACATACAATTGTAGAAATTTTAAATAATTTAATGATTAATTAATTTTGTATAAGTATAAAAGCAAAAAAAAACTTAATATTAATAGTTTTTTGGATATCAGTAACATGTAGAAAGTAATAAAATTAAACGTACTTTCTCATATAATAGAAAAACATGTTCATTTTTGATAAAATATCAAATAATTCAATTTTTAAAATACATAGGATCGAGGAGAGATAAAAGTAGATGCTGAAAAATCCGGTGTAAAATTTTCATCTTTGCTTCAATTCAAACAACGAATATTTCTATATTTTGCTTAACAATGTTTGTTATATTATTCACACAAATCTTTATCTCTATTCTTTTTCTGATTCTTCCAATTTTCTTATGGAGTCTATCTCTTATTTCAGTTTCGATATTCACTATGTGCCTGACATATAAATCAAGAAATAATTTTATCAATTTTCGCTTTGCGCTTTAATGGTAATGTCACTTGATCGATCCTTTTCAAATATCGTTCATACATGATTGATGGAGCATCGCACCTAAACTTAAATTGCACTGATAGTAGATAAAAAAATTATTTTATGAAATATTGACACATTATTTGTAAAGCAGTTTAGTAAAGCTGGTTTAATGACCAAAAATAGTTATTTATTATACAAGACGATAAAAAAATTGTTTATCTACGAGTGAAAAAGGTTAAGTTTACGAGTGACGAAGTCACGAGTGGACTTTTTTCACGAGTAGATAAACAATCTTTATCGTTGTGTATAATATTTCTTTTTATTTTGTATTCACCTACCAGAATTTCTTGAATATAAACAGTAGACAAAAATTACTTTATTTCACATGACCATAAAAGACTACTTTATCTACTAAAATTAGTTGATAAAAGCACTCTTTAACATTAGGTACAAAATAAAAAAATAAATTGTGAGTAAAACAGCATGTCTCGTTCATTAAAATCATAAACTGTTCTAATTAAATCCGACTTTGTCCCATTCTACGTTAAATTATTTTTTCGTCATTATTTTTTATGGAAACGTAATCTGGTTCCCTTCCAAATTCCAGAATTAATACTCTTAGGACCCTGACATTTCGATTCAAATTACATTTTTCAAGCAATGATAGAATCCCGATTAAAACTGAAGTTCATTATGTGCAGTAGTGACTAGCAATATTTATTCAAATCTGGTCAACTTTTATACTCCTAATTCAATTAACTTTTTTATTATCCTTGTTATGCCAGACACGTTATTTTTATTACAAAACGTATTAAATTATACCTGACATTAAAAAAAATGTCCCTACATTTATTCCACTCAAAGTGAAAAGAAAACATTTTTGTTAAAAATAAACGGTTGCCGACGCTTCACATATGCGTACGTGTGTTTTTGTTTTGAATATAAATTTAATTTATTCTGGAAATTAAATATTGCTGAGATTTCCATTGGAAATTTTTCCGTAAAACGTGTCAGCGCCAACACAAACTGTCATTGGTGCTTGATTGAGATAATCCGTAATGGAAAAAATAAATTTCTAAAATTGATATAAACATGTTTCTAGCCTAACGAACGTTAAAAGCGGTCTCAAACAGTGATAAAGAATTCAGAAGGTATTGCCGATTTAGCTAATGGTCCCAAAGTGCTTTCTTTTGTAGGAAACTCTCATTTTCGATTAGGTTAAAATGATACACTGCAAAAGTTCCCGCGTTATGTTTGCCTAAAACCGGACGTAAATTTCAGGAAATAATTAGCTCGGAAGCTGGAGATCAAATATTTTATTTTTCATCAAAGTTGAAATTTCTGGGGACGGTATCCATAAAGCAGCAGTGCTGAATTAACACAACTTTAATTTATCAGCAATTTTACTGAACTTCCCACCAACTAACTTTAATTTGCTTGTAAACTTCTCATCTTAAATAAGTTTATTCACCAAGGTTGGGTCGCATTTGTAAGGAACTTTTCTCACAAATGACCACTTTTGGGCAAAAAAGTAAACAATTTCTATTCTCTCTGTCAGAAATTTGTTAATTTGCTTTCAGCTGAATTAGTTTTTCAGACTGTGGTTGTCGATAGACTTCAGAGAAAGCTTTTTGAGAGCTTTCGCTGGTCACAACAATTGAGTTTTTGATTAATAATCACGTTCGACACTATTTGCAATACAAAATTTACGCGTATGGAAAATCAATAATTCACGTCACTGTGATTACCTAATTAAAACGACAACTATAACCTTTGTGGGTTTAATTGTGTTGTTAGATATAACTGTTTTGTTTGTTTAACAGAAGAAACAGATTAAATATTTTTTTCGAGGATAATTTATATCCAATAAATATTTAAGTAAAATAAATACCTTTGGCTATAAATAAATAAATTATTTATACCCGACATTAATAAATTTTCATGCGGATGTTGATGGTTTCCTGTATTTCACTTAACCAGTCCCAAATAATAATTTAATGTGGGAGTACACTGAGCTTTAGAATTTCTGCTCTGATATATGTTACTTTTGACATTTACTGGGTTTTTGTTTACGATACTACGTATTTTTCAGAGAGGAAAATAGACAATAACATATGAGACTGCCTGAAAAAAAGGCTTAAATACGAAATGTAGGAAAATGCAGCACATCAATGAAAGCTTTCTGCAGCAACTCGTAGCATTATATTAAATGTCAATGAGAAAATCTGATCATTTGTGGAGCTTATTTCAGACACAAAATTGTAAAGACTTTTCAGGATGTAGAAATATATTTTTACTCGTTACTTAACAAAAAATCAGAACCAGCACTCGTTTCGTATTGGATTTTGATGCGTATCCGTGCGAAAATTTGTTCAAATGGAACAAAATGGAAATGGTAGTTTGGCTAAATTGAGCAACATTTGGATCATGTGGAGTGAAAAAATCGCTGTTTCTAGTCTATAAATTTTTTTATTGATTACTGAGGGCTGGATCTAACAGATCCAATTTTAAGTAAGAACATTAAGCGATTGCTTTCGTGATACATGTCCGTGGAAACTTTTTCAATTGACCATAAATTTGTTACGAAAAAATTAGAAGAGAACTAACGTAAAAATTTCAACTGCTGGATTTTATATAATTGTAAACAGCTCCATTCATGCGTATATGAGCTTCAATGTAAATCAAATTTTAATAAAGCTCATTTTTTTGCGAAAAAAGAGAATTTTAAAATCGGACCAAAACGTGTTTTGCACCTCTGAAGGCACCACTAGGGGTCGAAAAAAAATCATAAAAGTGTATAAAACGTTATTGAGTCGAGTTTAAAATAAACTGGATTTCCTGAGTTTTCAAATATGAATATGCATTTCGTATATTTACTCAATTATACAAATTCTACTACCTTTTGCAGCTAGGTGAACAGTTATTTACATCTAAAGTTGCAAAATAATACGGCTGGAGCAGACCCAACTATTGGGCAATTAATTGTGACACACCGTAAGTTTTATACAATTTATGAGTTATGTTTTAAATAGTACACAGGAAAATTAAAGCTAAGTCCCTGCACATTTGACAGCATCGTACAAATTTACTTTACAATTAATGACATCAAGTTCGAAAGTAATTTCAAGTATAAATTAGAGCTTTTTCTTATTTCAAATAGTTGAATTAAATCTTGGACAATTTATATGTTGGACACGTTTCGCAATGATGTTTTATTAAATTTCACACTGAGAAACAAATTAAATTTAAAATTTATTGCCTTATATGCGTTAGTCTTACTATAGGTAGTGAAATTTTATGAGGATAGGTTCATTAGATTGTAGATTTTATCCAAGAAAGTTAATTAAAAGTTTGCAAGTGGCATCACATTAAACACGAAAAATGAAAACCATAATTAATTTTCTGATTTTAGGAAAATAAAACTCGCTCATAATATTATATTTATTTACGAGGTGCGCTATCTAATTTGTTTCATTATAAACCCTCCAGTTTATTAGATATGATAGCCTCTCAAACAACTTTTAATCGCTAATCAAATTTATTGCAAAATAACAGTTTCCGTCATAAACCGGGTTTATTAAGGCCTTCCAGACGCCAAAAAAGCTCTAAGACGCGATCTTAAGTTCGTAACAAAATCAATTAAAATGAATAATACCAACTGAAAAAAAGCATTTTTATATCGGAATCACTCATTGAGATGGTAATTTAATTTTTTAATTTTAAAATTGAATTTAAAAAAATCTATAGCTACAGGCTGTCAAAACTCGCGCCCCAGAGAAACATTTCAAGTAAGATAAGAAACCAGAAACATGGAAAAATATTTTTTCTATTTCGGTGTTAGAATAAGTCTATTCCAGCACCCAAATGACGTCATTTGAGTGCTGGAATAAGTCGTTCGCGGTAATTTAATTTTAGTGAAGGATTTTCCTTCAAATGTGAAAATAAAATTTATTTTATCTTACAGGTTGAGTTTTTGAGGTACCTTAGACCATTTTTTTAGGTGATAGAAATCAAATATTATTCACAAGTGAGATAAAGTACTCACAAGTGAGTAAATTTGACTATTATATTATTTTTTCTATTCTATTCTATATTCTAAAAACTTGAAAAATTATTTTTCCAAAAGTAATAAATAGTCAAAGTGCCAAATTTAAAATCTCATAAATTCGAAATTTTTATAAATAAATTTTTTTTAACATATTTTCCACCTTGACATTTTTCTCTGGGGCGCGAGTTCTGGCGCACCCTGTATATTTAAAAAAGTGAACAACATACCCAAATTTTGATAACACTCCACTTCAAATTTCTTCCCGATAACAACATTGAGTAGTCCGAAGATAGCTTGAGGAAACTCCACCAGCAGGAAAAGAAGAAGAACAGCCAACAGCATCATTGTTGTCCTATCAGCTTGCTTGACCTTCTCTAAACCCCTCTGACTAGGTTTCCTCATTGCAGCAGTCTCTTCCGGTTTAGGAGTCATCAACTTCTTCCTCCGTTCTTTGGCTTTTAGAATTTCGACTATTAGTAGCGAAGAAAGCACAGTTAAGAAGATACACGGAACTAACTTCATAGCAATCGCATACACCGAAGAACTTATGTATTGAGAATATTCACTCTCATAGTCTGTGATATAGACCGTGGCGTTGTAGGCGCCAGTTTTTGTTATTTTGTCGTTCTCGTCCACCCTGATCTGCCTCTCCCAGATTTTCAGTGAGACATTCAGAGGGATGCAGATAACCGGACAGAGGATGTAAGTGAGGAGGATCGTGATTTTGGTTATTTCATTGCTACACCATTTGCTATTGTTTTGGGGAAACTTGATAGCAATGTACTGCCAAACCGCCAAAATGACGGTAAGACAGCACGAGATGAAATGGAAGGATTGAGCAAACCAGGCGTGGAAAAACACGAAAACTGCCAACTTGTACGTGAAGTGATAGGCGTAAGCCTTATCCCCGTTGTAAAGAAACACGAAGGGGATATAGTCCAAGATCACTAGGAGATTTGCCAGCGCAAGCCCCGTCAGGATCAAGTTCGTCGGACATCTCATCGGTTTTGTTGTCAACACACAGATATTTAACACGTTGGTCACCGAACCGAAAATACATATTATCACACTGAGATAGTTATGGTACACTGAGAAAGCTTTTTTAACATTCGTCAAATCACAATAAGTCACATTGTGGCTTGTCACGTTCATTTTGGAACTTTTTAAAGAGTTTCAATGTCACTTTGGGGCGGCACAAACCAATCCTGAAACTTCTTCAACATATTGACGAAGATTTATCATTGAGGACTTTACACCACAAACGCAGCTTTTCAAGTGATGAGAAACTTGGTCCGCGAGCCGCAATTTGAGCGCGCGCAAGCGCTCCCTTTTTACAAAGATGACAATTTTGCTGAAAAAGTTAATCAGGACTTTTATTTATCTTCATGTAATGAGCTTTGTCGTAGTTAGGACTGATCTTGGTGGTATCGATTGTTTGCGACCAAATGGAACAATGGGATTAGAGGTATTGCGCACCGGTCTCGGAAGTGTTGATTTAATTTATTGACAAGAATAGGGAATTATTTCCACCTTTGTGGAAATTTAATCGAATCAACGGCTCCCAATTGAATAATTCTTACTGTCTTAATTAATTTACGCCGTTTAACATTTATTAGAAAATACTTTATTGACTTATGTTAAAGATTCAAGATTCATTTGTTGATATTAAAAATTATTCCTGAAGTCATAAATTTTTATGTACACAGAGTAACTTATCGTTGGTTAGTTAATCAAGGTTTTTTATTAATAATTGTAAGTTCACTTGAATTTTCTTTGTTTTATTTTATTGTTAATATAAATAAAACAAAACCAAATTTATGCACATCTGCTTTTTTGTTGTGTCAAGGATAATCAACGGTGAATATTGTATTGACGTAAGTTAAAAATTACTCGAAACCTATTGTATTGAACACTACTGTGAGTTTCATTTAGATAGTCAATTCATTATTGTTATTATTAAAAGTATTATAATTCCATGACGAAAACAAGAAAGTTTTATTGAAATTATAGTTTTAAAATAGAACACCTGTACTAATATTAATTTAATTATAGCATCAAGAGAGTATAAGTTGCTATAATAATGCAGTTCTATTTTTAATAGCTCTAATTAGTCTTGATTCGAAGCTAATTGCGAAATCGTGTGTCTTATATAAGAGAGTTCTGATACTTTTGTATTTTTATTTCCTAGAATGTAATTAAACCAAATAAGAAAACTGGATGCAGTAGAGCAATTTATTTGCTCTAACTAAATTGAGTGTTTATATAATTAAAGTGTTTTTTATGTATTATTATTATTATTATTATTAAGTAAAACATGAAGCGTAATTTACATAAGTAGGTACCTACTATACTGTAATTAACATCTTAATTCTACTATTAATTTCAATCACCAAAAACCACAGTCCCAAACTGAATTTTCAGTTGGAATAAATCGAGTAATAAATCATAAATTTGTGGCAGGAAATTTAGATAACCCTCTCACTTTTTGTCCCTATTATTTTCAGGCAATTCTTGATAAAATACATTCGTTATGTGTCGATTACTATGATCAATGTATTATCACAAATTCACAAAGTAAATTTAAGCTCTAATGCGTCTTTGATGTTTTACGTTATTAAACATCCCTTAACTTAACCACTTTGTGACATACTATCTGAAATTAACCACAAGCTTCCTCATAACTATAAAGACCAGGTTGCCATAAATTGTAGAGTTTTTTTTTATTACTACTTCACGGCAATTTTCTTCTCAAATTCTTACTTTAAGGGCGTCTGTTTACTTGTTGCCCAACGTCGTTATCTTACACCATCATCGTCAGACGTCTGTGGTTAATTACCATCAACATCCAAAACTCGATATAAAAAAAATAGAAATGAGAAAATCTTTCCTTTTACTTAAATCTAAAAAGCTTTCCACTTATTGCAAATACATACAAAAAAACTATTCATTAAATAATTTAATAATAATATCTTTGTTTTTCTTGAGTAGATAACCTATAGGCGTTCTACCCCAGAATCCCATGTATTTTCTTAAAGAGGTTCATTTTGCAATTCAAGGTCATTTGTTCGATAAGGTAAAATGGACCTCCATAAGAAAATGCATGGGATTTTGTGCTATAACGAATATAAATCGTAACTTATCTACTCAATTGAAACGCGTTAAAAAACAAACTAATTACAAATAAATTTCGAAATTGCACCATCGATTTTAGGTTTAAAAAGTAAAATATTTTTGTCAAAGTTTTTATCACTAGATCGCAATTTTCGTTGAAATTGCATAAAACATTTCATATTTTTCCCGATTGCATTTGAAAGAACTCATATACAGGATGTGCCAGAACTCGCGCCCCAGAGAAAAATGCCATGTAAAGTTGTACGATACCAAAAACATGGAAAAAATGTTAAAAAATTTTATCTATAAAAATTTCGAAGTTAGGAGAGATTAAATTTTTTAGGAAACAAGGAAGTTGTATCTTAAATTCTAACTCTGTTTAGTATTATTTGTGGCTTTTATTAGCAAATTTGTTGTGCATTTACTAAATAATTATAAAAAACCATGTCAAATGTAAAAAATAAATGTCAAAATTTTTTAAATATTTTTTCCATATTCCTGGTAATTACTTGAAACTTTTCTTTAAGGCGCAAGTTCTGACACATCCTGTATATGTTTTAGCAATTTCTATGTCTAGTTTGAGATGTTTCAGGAGTTCATGAAAAACAAATCCATTACTTCCAATTATTTACAAAAAATGTACACACATAAATTTCTGAGAGTACCCCTGGCAGATCTTTGGTGTTTGATACTTGAGAGTTCTTTTGTGTAGTTGCCCAAAAACACATTTTGCATAATTATGAAACTAGAAATTTAGCTCTCGTTTCGTGTTTCTAGTGAAAATTCAATCAATAAAAATTAATAAAACTCTAATATTTTCTTTAGACTGTATTCACCACAAACGTGACAAAAACGTGATAATGGCCCTTCGATAAATTAAAAGAAACCAATTAAACGAAAGCAGTTTTGCAACGCAATTGAAGCCGCGTTAAAAATAAAAATAATGGTACAAAAATTTGCGTTTTCTACTTGCTTACGAATGGAATCAATAAAAATGTTTCATGTATTGTAGAAAATTTCATCCAAAAATAAATATGCAAAAACTGAAGTGGCAATTTTTGTGACATTAATTAAGTATCAAGCCAATTGGAAAATCGCTCTGCATATTTCCATTTTCCCTTTTAAGCTTATAATCTGCTTTTAAATTTCATCTATCTGAACCGCATGCTATTTATAAATCAATCTTCTTTTACCACTTATTTACATTTTTTTTAATCGGCAATAGTAAAAACCACAGAAGTTTGCAAATACGTATTCAACTGATTGAAAGTATTATTTTTAATTATTTTATACAGGTGTGACAGAACTCGCGCCACAGAGAAATAATTCAAATAAGATAAGATACCATAAACATGAAAAAATTATCTGTCAAAAATTTTTGACACCTATTTTTTGACATTTAACATTTTTTTTATGTCTATTTAATGATACTGATGACCTTGTTATGTTATGTTTTTTTATAATTATTTAGTAAATGTACCAAAATTTTGCCAATAAAAACCACAAATAACATTAAACAGAATTTAGTTTAGGATACAGCTTCCTTGTTTCCTCTTCTAATAGCCTGTAGCAAAGAAATTATTTTTTCAACAGAAATAACTTTAGTCAAAGTGCAAAATTTAAGCTGTCATAAATTTGAAATTGTTATAGATAGAATTTTTTTAACATTTTTTCTTTGTTCTTATCTCATCTTACTGTATATATTTTATGTTTGTATACGTAATGAATGAGATGCATTTTGAAATTATCATTTTAATTACACAAAAGTTTTTACTGGAAATATTTTATTATTTACACAAAACGTAACCTCGAGGCTACGCCTCTCGGTCAGATAACTAGATCCCTCAAGGTAACGAAATATTTCCCAGCTCGGGTAATATACCATAACTGGAAGTTCATGACATTTATACGACAAGTTAACAATTTATTATTCAAAAGTCTCGATTAGGTGGAAATTGCTTGTCACCGTGCCACGAAAGTCTGACAACTTTTCTCAGCAGCTGCACATTTTTTCCGCTTCTCGAACTGCCTCATTTGAGGTTTTTTATGTGTCATAAATAACCCTAATTTAAGGAATTGAAGTGCTCTTACTCCTAATATTTTCTCAAATAATATTTTCATTTTCCTTTCAGAAAGATGAAATGCAAACAGAAATTATTTCTAGATCGCACATTTTTTGTTTGTTTCAAAACCACTGTGAAAATCCTACAGGAAATAATAACAATTTTTCTGAATACAAAAAATCGAACAATTATATTTTTATTACTGACATTTCTGAGTTATCTTATCAAAACGTACATAGTTAATTAGTGATGTTCAGATATGGAGTGCTTCGTTTGGATCAAAATACATATCTGGGAAAGTTATAAACGGACATGATACGTTAATTTTGTTAATTGTTTGTCTCACCTTGTGAAAAACAACATTATTGGGTCATATGGTCCAATTATCGTATTTTCACAATCTGGACTCAATTTTCCGGTAAAAATATCAAAGCCTTGCTGTTGTAATTTCAGTGACGAAAATACATTGCAAAATCCTCATTGATAAAACATACTTAATTGTGCGTGCTGAAAACATTTCTCTCCGTTTATTTCAAATGTCGCGAACAACAAAAGCACTGTCTTCCCTCCTGTAATAATCATTTATTTTCAAGTACATTTAGTACTGCTATTAGAAGTCACTTCGTGCTCTAGCTGTATCAAACTTCACTTATGAAATGTAACTTTTCGAGCGTCCACTGAAACTATTTGGATAATTCCGTTATCTGCCCCGTCAGTTAAACTCTACCCTGTTTCTGACAACAATGACAAATTGTCTATATTGTGGTGTCGATATATTTGACACGGATTGTCAGGTTTCCAGATAATAAATTACAATTTGGTGGTTGGCTTCCATTTCAGGACTCGTAAAAAAGAGAAATGATGGATAAAATTCTTTCAGTGGTGGATATCATCAAATAAAAATTGTCGGTTTTTCCTGCTAAACCTATATTTGAACTTCTTTTGTCTATTTTCAGCAGACTGAAGGCGTCGACACTTCTATTAGTGTGTGTTTTCTTTGCGTCATTTCCAACTTGACACCTGATAGAGTTACGATGTTTTCCATTATCCTTGATGTCTATGTCAAGCAATTTTTGTCCTTAATATT